GTTGAGAATTGCTAAGAATTAAAATTTATGGGAATAGTAATTCGATGTTAAAAAAAAAAAAACGGGTCGGGTTGTTTCAAATCTGATCTATGAGCTTCAACTTGGTTTGTTTTATGGGCGGCCATTTTTATTGAAAATCAATTCATTTAGTTATATTGTGTTAATTATGGTTGGTTTTATTCGGTTTGTCGTTTCTTTAGTTAGAAAATTCTACTGAAATTTAACCAATTCAAACTATAGTTCGGTTTGGTTATGGATAAGTTTCGTCCGCATTGCCGAATAAAACTAAAATGTTAATTCGATTCGGATTTTAGTGAAAATTTTGGTTAGTTTGATTATTTTTGACCCGTCCGGTTAATTTCACTTAGTTTAGATCAGTTAACCATGAAAATAAGATGTATAATTAGATTTCATAGTTCTTTTGAATAAACAGTGGCATCTGTTTGACTCGTCTGATATGAACTAATAACCAGACATATTTCTAAATCTTGCCAATCGGTTTTCTCCAAATAACCGAACTTAAACCAAAATTATGAAATCCTGGTTCGGTTTATTCACCCAAACTTACTCTCAATGATAAAACAAAATCATTTCTAGCATCAAATTCTTCCTCCGAAACACTCTATGACGATCCCCAAAGCTTTCTACTTCGAAAATAATATTTTTTTTGGTGAAGTTTCGGAGTTGATAATTGCACTCTTTATTATATATGGTGCATATGCTTCCAATATTAGTTATGAAAGTATGATAGTTCTGTAAGAAATTGTTTATTTAGTGAATTTTCATCTTTCACACGAAAAATTAAATCTGTTTGTACCACTTTACTTCTTATGAGGCTTTTTTGGTCGGAAAAATGTTTCAGTGTACTTTATGGAATTTTTTTTAGTCACCTTTTTTTTAAACTGTTGAAATTTCGGGTCGCTGATCTATATCTTACCGATATTCAAAATTAAATTATTTTGATTATCTAAAATAAGCTCATTTGGATAATCACACGGCTTACTCATGAAAAGGATTTTAAAAGGAGAGTTTGATGCTAATATGATTTGGTTTTCTCAATGAGTGCAGGCTTGGATAAATAAATCAAATAGAAATTTGATAAGTTTGATTTTAATTTGGTTATTGAGAGAAAACCGATAGACGAAAGTTTTAAATATTTTTGGTTCTCAATTTGAAATTTAATTGTCCATTTCATTTTTTTTGGTTAATCAGTCCAAATTAACCGAAATATTTAAATGGTCTAGAATAAAACATTAAAAAACATGTGGTTGCTATTTTACTCAAACGTACAAATGGTAAACTTAATTAAAATTATAATATTAATAGAGATTAGTATTTGTATATGGGTATATTTTGATTTTACGAAAGGGACATTTGCAAAAATGCCACATATTGGTTCCCTATTTTCAATAATGACACACACACATACCCTCTTGCAAAAATGTCACAATTCATTAAATCAAAAATTAAATTTGTC